CTTGTCTCCTCTCCCCTGGCTGTAAGATCTCATTGCGCATCCATGTCCTATCTATCTATCTATCTATCTATCTATCTATCTATCTATCTATCTATCTATCTATCTATCTATCTATCTATCTATCTATCTATCTATCTATCTATCTCGGCGTGTCGAATGGACATGAGCTGTCTTGCCATGGCAGAGCACATCGAGGCAGCATCCATACCAGCTACGCGACCTCGAGACAAGACGCATATGGGCACGGTGCCAACCAAGGTTAACTAGTGCAGCTCACGGGGCTGCAGAGCATGTTGACGTGATGCATGACGGTATCCGAGTTGCTCGGAGCTATCAACAACAATCAGCTTCTGCGTCTTGACAGAGACCACGAGCCGACGACAATGGATGGGTATGTTTGCAGTAGAGGTCCACGTGATTTGCTTCAGGAATCAGTCTCCTGCAGACTGGCTCGGCAGCTGGAGCGTTGCTGTCGGTCGTTATTAGTGGTACCGCGTCAACGTGCCGCACCACTCACAACAGAGTTTATCATGGAACCGTTGCCGCGTTGATACCACCAAGACGTTGCGTTTAATCTAAACAGACACTCGCGACCCGACTTCCAATTACGACCGAAAAGCAAGTCAAAGGGACATCAAGAAAAGTTTAGACATAAAATCAAGAGCAACGCCCGGCTACTTAGACGTCGAGCGTGCGCTCGTAGTCCTCGATCGACTTGAAGAGCTCCGAGAAGTTACCCTTGCCAAAGCCGCCGCAACCCGCCGCCTGCTCCAAGCGGCCGTTGAGCTCCTCCATGCAGCCGACGCGCTCAATGATTTCGAAAAAGCACGTCGGGCGGTCGCCGAGCGGCTTGGTGAAGATCTGGAGGAGGATGCCCTGGTCGTCCTTGTCTACGAGCAAGCCGAGCTCCTCAATCTTCTTGTACTGGTCGGCCGTGAAGATGTCGCCGATCTTGGCCGGCAGGTTCTTGTAGTACGCGTCCGACGGCTTGGGCATAAAGTCAAAGCCACCAAGGTGCGTGCGCTTGCGCATCTCGGCAAGCGTGTGGAAGATGTCGTTGGTCTTGAGCGCCATGTGCTGGAGGCCCGGGCCTTCGTTCTGCTCGAGGAAGGTTTGGATCTGGCTCTTGCGCTTCGTGCCGAACGTGGGTTCGTTCATCGGGAGGAGGATCATCTCGCTGTTGTTGGCGAGCACCATCGAGTTGAGGCCGCTGTCCACCGTGCCGACGTCGTCCGACGTGAACTCGGCAAACTCGTGCCAGCCGGTAAAGTCGCAGACGTACTGGACCGCTTCGACAAGGTTGGGCACGTTGCCGACGGCGTGGTCGAGGCGCTCAATACCGATCGAGACGTCCGGGCCTTCGACGTTCTCGTAGCCGGGCATGTAGCGGCCCTTGTAGTTGCCGCTCACGTAGCGGAGGACGACGTCGCCGTAGAGCTTGACCTCCGAGATGACCATGGTCTCGCCGGTCGCCGCATCCTTGGTCGTCTTGGGCGAGCAGACGCCAACGGCGCCGTTCTTGACCGAGATGTCGTAGGCCTGGGCGGCGTCGTCGACCGAGACAGCCATCGCACGCACCGCAAGACCGTGCTTGTTGTTGAACTCGTGGGCGTACTCCATGTCAAAGCCCTGGTGCGGCGGGATCGCGTCGGCCTTCTTGTTGGCGCGCGAGTAGGGCGCCGTGATGACGAGCTGGAGCTCGCCAGTTTGCATGACATAACTGGCGTAGCTGTGGTTGCCGGTCGACTGGTCCGACTTGGCGACGCACTTGAGGCCGGCGCCCCAGCCGAAGCGCTTGGAGACGTTGGTCGCGTCCTGGCAGTAGAACTCAATGTGGTGGAACTTGTGCATCGGGAAGCGGTCCGACTTGGGGTTGTGGCGCACAAAGTTGTTGTAGCCAACGAGCTGGATCTTCTTGTTTTCGGCCGACATGCTGAGGCGGTGGTGAATTGAATTGTGAGCTGCCTACTTGTGGTCGACCTCCTCGCTGTGCGATCAGTAATCACTGCGGGCTTGGCGTGCCATGGGAGCTGCAGTATAAATGAGGACGCCTCTTGCAACAACAAACCTCTGTAAAATGATATCGAAGTATCAAAGATAAAGGTTTTACGTGCCGATTTGTAGTCCGTCGGGCGCACTTGTTTACAAACTGGACCGCCCTGCGACTGCATTTGCAATCGGGACTTTTTGTCCGACCGGAACCATAGTTGGGCTGTTGCTTTAGGACTTTTTTAGATGCCGGTAGTACAAATCGGACTGAAATTCGGCATTGCCGACGCTGGCGTCACCGATGCAGGCAACTTCAAGCACACGTCAGGTGCGCCCATGGAATTCTCCTTCAAGTGTGGGACGGCCTCGATTATTTCGTTGCGTAATCTGCAATCTGCGACCCTGCATCGAGCTTACGGCAGGCGTCTGCCAGGGTCATAGTATCGCAACCAACCAGTTCGATCTCTTGTGAGTGGAGGGTATGGCAGCGAGAGAACGCGTGGGCACGGAGCGAATAGCTGATTGAACGAGGAGGGCAAGGATAGTGTTGCATCTATTTGGCTCATCTAGATGTCGTCGGAGATGCAGCTACCGGTAGGTGCATTTACCATCATAGCGAATGCATGGGTGCTTTCACTCTGGGTGCGCTCTCTGGGCGTACTACCAGCAGAACTAGGCTTGCATCTACCAGCCTAGACGACTACCAGCATAGCCACCTTCAAGCAAAGCTCGTGAGGGCATTTAGTAATAGAGCTTTTCAACGACACCGCGCCAAAGTAGCCGTTGCTACACTCT